TGGCTCAGCCGCCAAACCTGACAGGAGTTAGATCCCTTGGACCCACAAGACAAGGGGTAGATTCTCGACCTCCGCAAGTTGTCCTCTTATCCCTACACGTATCAAGGCTCATGCGTGCCCACACACATGAAAAATAAATTAATAAAAAAGCAAAAATAAGATGGACGTGGTTGCGCACGCCTTTAATCCCAGCACTCCGGAGGCAGAGGCAGGCAGATCTCTGTGAGTTCAAGGCCAGCCTGGTCTACATAGCGAGTCCCAGGCCAGCTGGGGCTACAGGGAGAACCTGTCTCAAAAACACACACACACACACAAAAAAGATGTATTCATTTTTAATGTGGATGTGTATTTGCCTGCATGAATATATGTGTACTACAAGGGTGCCTGTGCCCACAGAGGTCAGAAGAGGGAATTGGATCCTCTCGAAAGAAAGTTACAGACTGTTGTGAGCAGCCACGTAGGTGCTAGAAATGGAACATGGGTCTTCTGTAAGACCAGCAAATACCATCTCTCTAGCCTCAAAAAAAAAAAAAACCTTTAAAGATTGATTGATTGATTGATTGGTCTTTTTGAGACAGGGTCTCCCTATAACCTAGCTGGCTGGAACTCACTATGTAAACCAGACTAGCCTTGAACTCACAGAAACCAGCCAGCCTTTTCTGTCCTCCGTGGACATTGCATGCAAGGTTCTCTTCTGTTCTCTGTGGACATTGCATGCAAGGTGCACTTACATGCAGGCAAAACACTCATATACAAACAAAATAAATAAATCAAAATAATTTTTAATTGCATGTATTTCATGGGTACTGTGTGTCTGTGCCTGCACATGTGGAGGTCAGACGACAACTTGCAGGAGTTGGTTATCTTCTTCAACTATGTGGTTGGTTCCTAGGGAATCTAACTCAGACTTGGCAGCAGGCACCTTTTACCAGCTGAGTGAACCTCAATGACTTAACCTAGGATTTTCCCAGAAAACAATGTTCAAGAGTTAGTTCTGTCCATCCATCATGTGGCACCTAGGGATCGAATTCAGGTCATTATATTTGGTGGCAAATGCCATTCCCCACCCCCAGCCATTTTGCCAGACTCCCCATACCCCCTTTTTTCCCTCCCTCTGTCTCTATTTGAGACAAGGTCTCATGTAGCCCAGGCTGGCCTCAAACTCCTTGAACTTCTAATCCTCCCGCTTCCATCTCTTGAATGCTGAGACTGCAGGTATGTGCCACTTGGTGAAGTTTTGACCTTTCTTATTTTTTATTTATTTATTTTTTAAAAAATGTTTTGGTCTTTTTGAGACAGGGTCTCCTTGTAGCCCTGGCTGTCCTGAAACTCACTATGTAGACCAAGCTGGCCTCGAACTCACAAAGATCCACCTGCCTCTGCCTCCCAAGTGCTGGGATTAAAGGTGTGCACCACCACACCCTGCAACACGGTGCTTTTTTAAAACATGGGTGCTAGGAATTCAAATTCAGGTCCTCTTGCAGAGGATCCAGGTTTGGTTCCCAACACCCACATGGCAGCTAATAACTGTCTTAACTCTAGTTCCAGGGGATTAAATGCCCTCTTCTGACCTCCACCAACATTGCATGACATGGGTACACTTACATATATGCAGGCAATACAGTCATACACATAAAATTTTTTAAAGTAAATATTTTAGGGGCTGGAGAGATGGCTCAGCAGTTGTTTGTTCTTGCAGAAGACCTGGGCTCAAGTCCCAGCACCCACATGGCAGCTAACAACTGTCCGTAACTCCAGTTCCAGAAGATCCAACAGCCTCTTCTGTCCTGTGCAGGCATTGCATGACACAGGTACACTTACCTACATGTAGCCAATACACTCATACATATTAAAAAAAAAAAAAAGAAAGTAGGGGCTGGAGAGATGGCTCAGAGGTTAAGAACACTGGCTGTTCTTGCAGAAGACCCAGGTTGGAATCCCAGCACCCATATGGCAGCTAATAATTGTAACTCCAGTTCAAGGGATCCAACAACCTCTTCTGTCCTCTTTGGGCATTGCACAACACAGGTGCACTTACCTGCATGCAGGCAATACATGCATACACATAAAATAAACATAATAAATAAATTTTAAAAATTTTTTTAAAAAGGGCTGGCTGGGTGTGGTGGCGCCAGCACTTGGGAGGCAGAGGCAGGTGGATCTCTGTGAGTTCAAGGCCAGCCTGGTCTACATAGCAAGTTCCAGAACAGCTGGGGCTACAGGGAGACCCTGTCTCAAAAAGACCAAAAAAATAAAAAATAAAAGAATAAAAAAACAGGGGCTGGAGAGATAGCTCAGCAGTTAAGAACACTGGTTGTTCTTTCACAAGACCCACGTTCAAATCCCAGCACCCATATGGCAGCTAAAACTGTCCGTAACTCCAGTTCTAGGGGATCCAATGGCCTCTTCTGTCCTCTGCCAGCATTACATGACACGGGTGCACTTCCATACATGCAGGCATAACACTGATACACATAAAATAAAAATAATAAAATATTTAAAACAAAAATAAAATACCTTTAATCCCAGCACTCAGGAGACAGAGGCAAGCGGATCTCTGTGAACCCCACATGGTCAAAGAAGAGGACATACTCCCAAAAGTTGTCCTCTGACATTCCTAGCCCCCCAACACAATAAATAAATAAATAAATAAATAAATAAATAAATAGGGGCTGGAGAGATGGCTCAGCAGTTAAGAGCACTAATTGATCTTGCAGAGGACCCAGGTTCGATTCCCAGCACCCACAAGGTGACTATGACACCGTCCTTAACTCCAGTTCCAGGGGACTCCAAAGCCCTCTTCTGACCTCTGCGGCATTGCAGGACACAGGTGCACTCACATACATGCAGGCAATACACTCATACACATAAAATAAAAATAATAAAATTACTCCGGGCGTAGTGGCGCACACCTGTAGTCCCAGCACTTGGGAGACAGAGGCAGGCGGGTCTCTGTGAGTTCAAGGCCAGCCTGGTCTACATAGTGAGTTCCAGGACAGCTGGGGCTACAGAGAGACCCTGCTTCAAAAGGACAAAAATAAATAAATAATAAGTAAATAATTAATTAAAAATTAAATAAATAAATATTTTAAAAGTTTGGCACAGCCCTGGTATGTATGTGGCAGACATAGAGACGTTGGATCCCTGGAGATCTCTGGCCTGCAAGTCTAGCCAATGGGTGAGTTTCATATTCAGAGAGAGACCTTGTCTCAACAAATAAGAGGGAAAGCAGTAAAGGAAGATTATCTGATATAGACCTCTGGCCTCCACACGCACCTCCAAGCACACATGCAGACATGCACATATATTATACACACTAACACCCCCTCAAAAGAAGATAGCTCAGTGAGACATCTTATCTCAAGTAAAAGCACTTACTGTCCAGCCTAACAACCTGAGTTTCATCCTTGAGACCCAAATAGTCGAAGCTATAAACTGTTCTGACTTCCACATGTGAGCTATGGCTTATGTGTGCCATCCCCCACACAAATAAATTAATGTAAAAAAATTAAAAAGAGGGCTGGGATGTAGCTCAGTTGGAGGTATAGTGCTTGCCTAGCATGCATGAGGCCCTGTGTTCAGTTTCCAGTATCTCTGTAAAATGGGCCTTGGTGGCATATTCATGTAATCTCAGCACTCTGGTGGTACAGAGGATCAGAAATTCAAGATCATTCTTGGCTACAAAGGGAGTTGGAAGCCAGCCTAGGCAGAGACCTGTTCTCATAAACAAACAAAAACTGTTTTCCCAAACCGGGAGTGGTGGTGCACGGCTTTAATCCTATCACTCTAGAGGCAGAGGCAGGTGGATCGCTCTGAGATCTAGGCCAGCCTGGTCTACACAGTGAGTTCCAGACAAGCTGGGGGCTACAAGACCATGTCTCAAAAAGACTTAAAAAACAAAAACAACAACAACAACAAAAAAACCCTGTTTCCTTACTGTTCCCATAGTCTTTTTTTTTTTTGAGACAGGTGTGCTGGATAGCTTTAGTGTCAACTTGACACACCTGGGTTGAGGGAGTCCCAATTGGGGAATTGCCTTCATTGGACTGGCTGTGGCCATGTCCATGGGGCATCTTCTTGATTGTTGAGTGATGTGGGAGGGCCCAGACCACTGTGGGTGGTGCCATCCCTGGGCAGGTGGGCCTGTGTTGCATAAGAAAGCAGGCTGAGCAGGGGTCTGGGGAGCAAGTCAGTAAGCAGTGATCCTCCATGGCCTGTGCTCCTGACTCCAGGTTCCTGCCGAGTTCCTACCTTGGGCTCCCTGATGAACAGTGACCTGGGAGATGTAAGACAATAAACCCTTTCCTCCCCAAGTAGTGGTCAGAGTGTTTTGTCACAGCAATGGAGAAACAAACTAAGACAACAGGGTCTCCCTGTAGCCCCAGCTGACCTGAAACTCACTATGTAGACCAGGCTGGCCTTGAACTCAACTTGAAGAGATCCTCCTGCCTCTTCTTCCTGAGCGCTGGGATTAAAGATGTGTACCACCACGCCCAGTATTTGGCTTTAACTTTACTCTTTCATGGGAAATACAATCTGATAATGAAGATTGTGACTTTTTTTAGGCAGGGTCTCACTTTTCCAAGTGGACCCTCAACTCCTAGGCTCAAGGGATTCTCCTGCCTCAGCCTCCCAAGTACTGAACCACCACTCCTACCTAGTTGAGCTTAGTCCAAGTATCCCTTGAAAGGGTGACAGCAGAGGGCTACTTGTCTCTGGCCCTTTAATCCAAAGAGGTCTTTGGGTTCCAAAGATGACTAACAAGCTTGAAATGCCAAGTCTATCCCCTTTCACTGTTCTTTTTTTCCCTATATTTCACAGGCTACAACTAAGACTAGGGTCCCCTGAGAGTCAGAGTCACCAGTCCTGGGCCCACCAGAACTCCTTCTTAGGACTTCTTGACTGTCCTAACCACCATCAGAGTAATATTCCCCAACCTAAACATGAAAGAAGGGTCTTAAAGTGGCTAAAGTGTGTCAGCTCCTCTAACCAACACCACATCAGGACATACTAATTTTATTTTTCGTCTTCAACAAAAGTCTCCCTCGGTTCAGCCCTTCCTGTACTCCAGGAATGGAATCTGCACCTCAAGAAGGCTTCTGGGTCAGTGTCTGCGGATACGTCTCAGATACGTCTCAGGAGTACTTGATCCAGTGACCATGGAGAAGCTCCAGTAGTGAGGTCCCCAAGTAGAGGTCACCTTTCAGCCAGCTCCCTCATAGCCTCTCCTTCAAATCGAAAGGCATGCCAGCCCTCTGCTTCAGTCAGATCTTGAGCTCCTAGAGACTTGTACAAGTCCATGGCTTTCTGGTTCCAATCTAGAACTGCCAGGCGAAACTGGGAGCACCCCTTATCCAGGGCCACCTGCAGGAGAAGACATTACTTACTGCTCTGGAATCCAAAAGGAAAAGAGTGCATTTCGCACATGCGGCGCGCTTACATACACGTGGGCAAAACACTCATATGCATAAAATAAAAAATATATATTTTTTTGTCCTTTTGAGACAAACTAAGACAACAGGGTCTCCCTGTAGCCCCAGCTGTCCTGGAACTCACTATGTAAACCAGGCTGGCCTCGAACACACAAAGATCAGCCTGCCTCTGCCTTTCAAGTGCTGGGATTAAAGGCGTGTGCCACCATGCCCCGCCAATAAAAATTAATTTTAAAAAAGGAACTTTCTCACCTCATTCAACCTTGGTACCCCCATATATCCTGATTTTTTTTTTTTGTTGTTGTTGTTTTTTGTTTTTTTTTTCTCATCCCTCTCCTCACCTTGGCCACTTTTATTATTATTTGGGTACCAATCCCTTGACCTGTGATAAAGAAGGGAAAAGAACTATTATGAGTGGAGTGGGATCAGAAGAGGTGGTAGGCTGAAATTAGGAGACAAGGGGGTGAGTCTGAGAACTGCTCTGTGTCCACCCCAGCCTCAACCCCTGCTCAATGGGTCTGTGGGTGTTCTGTATCTATCTCAACTTTAGCCCCTGCCAGTACCCCGATATTTCGGCATCACATAGATGTCTTCCAGATAAACGTTTCGTCCTTTCCATGTGCTGTAAACGAAGTAGTACAGCCCGAAGCCCACTACGTGGGGCCCTGCAAAGGGAAGAGAGGGGTAAGGTACTGGGAGGAGAGATATCCTGGACGCTGCCACTCCTTGCATGCTCTTACCCTGTAGCTCCCCGGGTCCTGGAAGGATCTCTGCCACCAAACAGTGATAAAACGGATTCTCTCCAAAGCCATCTGCTCTCAGAGCTATAGAGATTGGAGGTGTGACAAAAAGGCACATTCACAGAGAGAGGACCTGAATTAATACCCAGCCAGGAGCTGTTGACCTAGGAATCAATCCTTCCCTTCCACCCCAGCCTCAATCAGGATCCGGGTGCTGAGCCCCACCTTCTTCACTGATCTTCAACTGATGGGCGAGTTTCTCGTACTCAGCCAGTTCCTACAAGAGTACGGAAGCAAGATTAGGGCAGGGAGGCCCTGCTGCTCCGAGAGCAGGGTGCAAAGGTGCACCCCTACGCCTATCCTCATTCCCCATCACCCCCGGCTCCGGCCGCTCTGCTCCCGCCCCCTCTGGCACCCTGTTTTCCAGTCCGTAGTTTTCACCTGAATCAGCCTCAGAATGTCTCCACAGTCTCCTTCCTTGGCCTCACGGATCCTCACGGAAGCCATTCCGATCCTCTCTGTTAAAAAAAAAAAAAAAAAAAAAAAATCAAAGACAAATAACCTCGACTTCCGTTCTGCAGGACCGGGTAAAGGGCCCGCAGAAACGCTCCGTGCTCACAGACACGGCTCTGGCTGGGTCAAGTCTGAGCCCAAGGGGTGGAGCAGCGCGGTCCGTTCTGCTAACATAGCCCCTAAATGTGCAACCTCTTCAGCCAATCAGCTTGCGGGTTAAGCACATTTCCCCCGCCCTGGGTCCCGCCTCTACCAGCCTGACTCCTGATTGTACTTGGGGCAGGGGTTAAAGCTTGCAGGTCCAGCTACCATCCCCCTTCTCCCCGTGCTTCTTATATTGAAGTATGCAGCAGCTGGCCGCTTCAACTTTCACTCTCAATCCCCTACCCATCTGGGACATCCCACACCCTGGGCGAGCCTAAGACTCACAACCGTTTTCTACAGCTGGCTGAGGTGTTGTGATGGAACCCAGAGCCCTGTACTCTGCGTCCTACAGCCTTGTTTTTGTTTTTGTTCTGGGCATTGAACCTCTGGGCACACTGTACAATCGCTAGCCTTGCTTTCTACAGCTGTTCAGTGGCTCAAAGTGTTTCTTCTCTCAGGGACATTTGTATTTGTATTTTCACATTAGACTCTATTATAAATCTCTATAATAAATGAGTAAGGGAGATAATTGAGTAACAGCAAGTCCCTTAGTGCGGCCCTCGCCCCCCCCCCCCCCCCCCCCCCCCCCCCCCCCCCCGCCCCGGTCTCTTATAGGGTCTGTGGGGCCTGGGTGTTTCCTCCATAAGTAGCTCAGGCTGGTCTCAAACTCACTATGTAACTGATTCTAATGCCTCCCAAGAAAATGCTGGAATTATAGGACTATGTCATCATGCCCAACTTGGCCTCAAACTCTTGATCCTTTGGGTGCAACCTCCCTTGTTTCCCAGTAGTAGCTGAGACTACAGTCTTGTGCCATCACATCTACCTTTTATTTTCAGACAGAGTCTCACTACATCCTTTATTTTTCTTTATTTTCTTTTTCTGTCACCCAGACTAGACTGAAACTCGCTGTGTAGCTCAGGCTGTCCTCAAATTTAACGCAATCCTCTTGCCTCAACCTCCCAAGTACTAGGATTATGGGTGTGAGCCACCACATTGAGTTTAGCTTTGAATTCTTTTATTTTCATTTATTTTTTTGGTGTGTGCATTGTATGTATGCATGTACGTACAGATGTGTGGAGGTAAGAGGTCAATGTTGGGTGTCTGCCTCAGTTACTTTCCACCTTAGTTTTTGAGACAGAGTCCTCTCACTGAACCTGAAGCTCACCAATTCCACTACACTGGCTTGCCAGTGAGCTCCATAGATCTTCCTGTCTCTACCCCCACCACCCCACCTTCCCCAGTATTGGGGTTATAGTTGTGCACCACCTTGCCAAGCTATTACATGGGTGGTGGGCAATCCAAACTCAGGTTCTCATATTTGTACAACATACTACCGAGTCATTTCCCCAGCCCTGGCCTTAAACTCTGGATCAACACTCAGCCTTAGTAACTGGGATTAAAGGTTTTGTGTGTGTGTGTATGTGTGTGTGTGTGTGTGTGTGTGTGTGTCCCACTACATCCTTTATTTTTCTTTTAAAAAATGTTTCATTTATTATTTTTAGTGTATGCATATATTGCCTGCATGTAGGTAAGTGCACCCATGTTGTGCAATGCCAGTGGAGGACAGAACAGGCTGTTGGATCCCCTGGAACTGAAGTTATGGACAGTTGTTAGCTGCCATGTGGGTGCTGGGATTTGAACCCGGGTCTTCTACAAGAACAGTCAGTGTTCTTAACTGCTGAGCCATCTCTCCAGCCCTCTTTCCTTTTGGTGTTTTCTCCAGACAGGGTTTCCCTATAGCCCTAGGTGGCCTGGAATTTGCTATGTGGAACAAATTGCCCTCAATCCCCAGATGTACTGGAACTCACTATGTAGACCAGGCTGGCCTTGAACTCACAGAGAACCACCTGCTTCTGCCTCCCAAGTGCTGGGAATAAAGGCGTGCACCACCACACCCGGCCTTATTTTTATTTTTTAATTTAAAAACATTGTGGGGCTGGAGACCTGGCTCAGAGGTTAAGAGTATATATTGTTCTTACAGAGGACTCAGTCAGGTGCCAGCACCCATATCAGGTGGCTTATCACCATCTATAACTAGCTTCAAGGGAATCTGAAGTCAGCCAGAAAGCCAGGCATGGTGGCACATGCCTTTAATCTCAGCACTCTGGAGGCAGAGGCAGGCAGATCTCTGTGAGTTTGGGTCTAACCTGGTCTATAAAGTGAGTTCTGGGCCAGCCAGGACTACATAGCAAAACACTCTTTAAAAAACATTGCTAACGGTTGGACCTGGAGAGATGATGTTTCAACAGTTAAGAGCACATACTTCTCTTCCAGAGGTTTCAAGTTCAGTTCCCAGCACCATGTCAGGTGACTCACAATTGACTATAATTCCAGGGGAATCTAACACCTCTGGCCTCTTCAGGGACTTACAAAACCTCTTCACAAACCCATACATATATACACATTAAAAGTTGCCAGGTGTGGTAGAGCATGGCTTTAATACCAGCACTTGTAAGGCAGAGACAGGCAGCTCTCTATGAGTTTGAGGTCAGCTTGGTCTACATACCAAGCTCCAGGTTAGCCAGGGCTACATAGTGAGACACTGTCTCAAAAAAAAAAAGATTATTTTCTGAGCTGGAGAGATGGTTCAGTGATTAAAGTGATTAAGTCCTTGCTGGTCTTCCAGAAAACCTGAGTTTTGTTCCTATCACCCATGTCAGATGGCTCAAAACTGCTTGTAACTCTAGCTCCAGGGGCATCCAACACCCTCTTTTGGCCTTCTCTGGCACTTGCACTTACCCACCTACACATATACACAAAATTTTAAAATGAAATATACCTTTAAAATAGTATTTATTTTACAGGGCATGGTGGCACACACCCTTAATCCCAGCTCTCCAGAGGCAGAGGCAGGCAGATCTCTTTAAGATGGTTTCCAACACCCATATGGCAGCTAGCAACCATCTGTAACTCTAGTCCCAAGGGATCCAACACCCACTTCTGGTCTCTGTGGATGTTGCACACACATTGGTGCACTTACACACATGTAGGCAAAACACTCATACACATAGAATAAAATAAAATAATTTTTTAAATTTAAAAATACAAGCTGGAGCCTGGCCTGGTGGCGCACGCCTTTAATACCAGCACTCAGGAGGCAGAGGCAAGTGGATCTCTATGAGTTCAAGGCCAGCCTGGTCTACATAGTGAGTTCCAGGCCAGCTGGGGCTACTGGGAGACTCTGTCTCAAAAAAGACCAAAAATAAATAAATAAATAAAAAATCCAAGTTGGACATGGTGGCACAGGCCTTTAATTTCAGCACTCCATAGGCAAAGGTCTATAGGCTGGTCTACATAGTGAGTTCTAGGCCAGCTGGGGCTATAGGAGGACCCTGTCTCAAAAAAAAAAAATCAAAAAATTAAAAAAAAATTTTTTTAATCCATTATCTCCTTCCACCATGTGGGTCCTTGGAAAGTCATGTCATCAGACTTGCTGGCAATGCCCTTACCTTTTGAGCCATCTAACCAGATCCCTCCCCTGCTATTTATTTATTTATTTATTTATTTATTTATTTATTTATTTGAGATAGGATGTCATTACCTATCCCTGGCTTGCCTGGAACTCACAATGTAGACAGGCTAGCCTTGAACTAACAGAGATCACCTCCATCTACCTTCCCACCCAAGTACTGGACCACTATGCCTGGCCCTGGTTTAAAAAAGAAAATTGGGCCAGGCGTGGTGGTGCACACCTGTAGTCCCAGCACTTGGGAGGCAAAGGCAGGCGGATCTCTGTGAGTTCAAGGCCAGCCTGGTCTACATAGTGAGTTCCAGGACAGCTGGTGCTACAGGGAGACCCTGTCTCAAAAAGACAAAACAAAAAGAAAATTAGTACTTGTTTTGTGAGGTAGGGTTTCAAAATGTATCCCTGGTCAGCCTGGAATTTACTATGTAGACTACGAATATTTATAATATTTATCACTTTTTCATTATTTTCCTTTTCTCCCCACCCCACCCCCTTTTTTTTAAAAAAAAAAAAATTATCTCCCTGTAGCCCCAGCTGGCCTGGAACTCACTATGTAGACCAGGCTGGCCTCGAACTCATAGAAGTCCACCTGCCCCTGCCTCTCGAGTGCTGAGATTGAAGGCATAGGCCACCATGGCTAGCTCTTTCTCCCTTTTTAGTGTGTGTGTGTGTGTGTGTGTGTGTGTGTGTGTGTGTGTATGCAAGAGTTATATATGTAGATCAGAGGACAACATGCAAGAATCGGTTTTTTCCTACCATATGAGTTCTGGGAACGAACTCAAGACATCAGACTTGGAGACAAACTCTTTTATCCACAGAACCATTTACCCTGCCCCCCAACCACACAACTTCATTTTTTCAAAAAGACAGTATCTTGACATGCAGTCCAGACTGGCTCTAAATTCATGATCTCACTGTCTCAACCTCCTTAGTGCTGGGGTTATAGGCAGAGTTCTTCTTAGTACCCATTAAAGCACACACAGAGACAATACCTTCTTGTGAAAGGAGAGCTGTGGTCTGGGAAAACTGAGGGAGGAGTTCATATCAGATACCAGGCATTCTGCCTGCATTATTTTACAGCAATCCCATAAAAGGATTATTTTCTTCATTTAACAGACAAGGTCACTGAAGCACAAAGGTGAAGTGTCTTGCCCAAGGCCATTCAGCCAGATATCTGGATTCCATTCTAGCTGGGATAGAGGATGCTAATTAAGCAGGGGGAACTTTCCAGATCTCCCTTTGTCTAGGCAACCTCCCCATGTGGGTGGATGGGTTGGAGGAACCACACTGAACTCTAGGAGAGGAAAGAAGAAGGGGTGTCCACTCTTAACTCGTAAATTTCTTGGCTACAGGGGATGGTAATAAAGAGACTCTGTCCTTCACCTCATTTGCCTTCAGAGGGGCCGCACGGTCCAGTCAGTCAGTGTCCCTATCTTCTGCCCCCCTTCTTCCCCCAAAGCAACCTTTAACCCTCCACCACCCATGCGCAAGGCTACCTACCCCCACACATTCTCCTCAGGCTGCCACAGAGTGGACAGCAGCTAACTATGAAGAGCAGAGGCTCCATGTCCTACTTGCATCGGTTGCTGCTGCTGCTATTGCTGTGGCTGCCGCCATTTCACACCCACCAGGGACAGGCCCTGAGACATATTCTCCCCACCCAGGTGCAGAAGTGGGCTAGAGTTCTCAACACCTATGTGTTTAAATGAGCTGCATTTCGGCTTTGTCTTTTTCCCTTCTCTCCTCTGGCCCTGCAACAGTGCCTTTCTATCTCTGAAATGTCCTTGGTCAACTTGCTTGTTTTCTTTTTCTGACAGTGAGCCCAGGCTCCTCTGGGTAGGCATCTCAGCTATTGCCCAGGTCAAGAACCTGTCACAGTTATGACCATAGAACTCACCCAAATCAGCAAGTATGGGGTTGCTTGGCCCCTTGAACCAACCCTCTGACTTTCCCTTTCCCCTGTCAGCACTTCTCCTTTCCCTATTCTCCCTGAGTTCCACCTCCCCCAGACCTCAAACAGCATACTCCATACAGTCTTTCCTTCTGTGTCCTCCTAGTCCCTATTCCTCCTTTGAGTTTTGAACATAGGATCCAGAGGGAGTGATTTTTTATGGAGATGCCAACACTTGTTCATACTGGGAATTCGGGATGGCCAGCCTGAGATCCAGATGCATAATTTCTGGGCCCAGCTTACAATAGGCATTGGCCGTCGGCTGAATGATGGGAGATGGCACCAGGTAATGGAACTCTGCTCCTGTGGGGAGGGGATCTTGAGCTAGTCTGAGGAAGGAGAACAGAAGCATTCCTTTGCTGTGGCCGTCTTATCTTATCCACACACAGCCTCCAGGAAGTAGCTGTTCTTGTCCCTGTTTTTTCAGATGGGAATTCCAAGGCTCAAATGGTGTGAAAGTGATACAGCCTGAGTGAGCCAAGGATGTGTCTTTTTGTGCATCTTCTTTCATTTGTACTAGGCTGCCTCCAAAGAGAATGGAGGCAATAGGCTCTGGGTCCTCTGATTCTACTTCTCACCACCTCCTGCAGGTGGAGCTGAAGATGAACCGGGACTCACTGCTGCTATGGGTAGATGGAGAAGAGATGCTGTGCCTAAGACAAGTCTCTGGGCCCCTGACCAACAAATCCCAGCCCATTATGAGGATTGCAGTAGGGGCCTCCTCTTTCCCACCTCCAGCCTTTGATTGCCGGTAACTACATCACATGGCCAAGCTATAGGAATCTAAGTCCAGATTTGGGGAGTGGGAGTTGGGGTGAGAGCTCCATGGGGGTTGCTTGTGTTTCAAAGGAGAATGGTAGGGTTTGGGGTTCATGCCCTGATTCTGCCATCCCTTCATCTTTCCTCCTCTTCACTCCACCCTTTCAGCTGGTCCCTGCCCTGGATGGCTATATTCGCCCTTACCTTCTGCCCCGACTAGCCTCAGAAAATGTGATGTGGACTTGCAACCTGGGCTCTTCTTCTCTCTAGGGGCCCATGCAGAATTCAGTCTTCAAGGTAGACTTTTTGCAATCTTTCCCCTTCATGGCTAGCTCTGCCTTCCTTTCTCTCCCTTTAACACTAAGTCCATTTCTCCATGAAACAGCCTTGAGGCCTCAGGAACATCATTTCTCCCCTTAGACATTCCAAGCCTCATGCGGAGCCCTGGACCTTTTCTCTGGACCTGGGATTTAAGCTGGTGGCAGGCTCAGGACACTTTCTAGCTCTTGGGACAGGAGCAAACTTGTCTTGGCTTAGCCTTCGTCTCCAAAATCAAGTAAGGGGAGAGGGTGGGGTGTTGCCTGTATTTAGTGGATCCTGAGAACAATGCAGCAAAGGGGGAGAAGTTTACAAAATTTTAGTAGTAGGAAGGACGAAACAGGCATTCAGGTCAAGGTTGAGAGCCAGCTATCTTATAGCTGCTCATAGAAGTCACACAGCTTTTTTTGTTTTGTTTTGTTTTTATGAGACAGGGTCTTCCTGTAGCCACCGCTGTCCTGGAACTCACTATGTAGACTAGGCTGGCCTCAGACTCACAAAGATCCACCTGCCTCTGCCTCCAAAATGCTGGGATTAAAGGCATGTGCCGCTACACCTGGCCAGAAGTCAGACAGCTTTTATCTAGATTGCATGTTTATTTGAGGTGGGGGTGGTGTCATGGTAGGTCAAACCAGGAAAATTGCATGGCAATATGGCTGAAAGGCAGAATTACAGCAACTAGAAGTGGGTTACACGGTATAGGTGTGGCTTTTTCTTTTTTCTCTATAACTCTCACTTCTGCCCCACCGACTGCAAGACCATGGTGCTGTCTTCTGGAGTAGCACCAGGACTACCTTTGCCTTTGGTCTTGGGACTACCGCTTCAGCTGAAACTGGACATATCCAAAGTGATCTTGAACCAGGGACCAAGGATGGAGGTCCTTTCTGTCTTCTTTGAGACTTTGCCACCTCTTGAGTCTCTGGTCCCAGCGACAGGGTCATTTCTTCCTTGTGGCTTTACCAGGTAAGAGAATGGTGTTTAAGTATATCGGCTAAAGAGAGAGAAAACCACCTTTTGAGGAGAAGGAAACCTCTGGGAAGGAAGAATAAAAGGTTAGGGGAGAAAGGGAATACCCTGGAGAGTATAGCTGAGGCACAGAGTACAAACCTGACATGCTTGGGACCCATGGTTCTGTTTTCAACAAAAAAAAAGGGAATTTTAAAAAAGGAAGCATTGCCGGGCGTGGTGGTGTATGCCTTTAATCCCAGCACTCAGGAGGCAGAGGCAGGTGGATCTCTGTGAGTCCGAGGCCAGCCTGGTCTACATAGTGAGTTCCAGGACAGCTGGGGCTACAGGGAGACCCTGACTGAAAAAAAAAAGACAAAAATAAATAAATTTAAAAAAAGGAGGCATGGGAGCCAGGTTATAATCACAGCTCTTGGGAAGATGAGCTAGGAAGATTACAAGTTCAAGGCCAGCTTGGGGTATACAGCAAGACTCGTTCTCAAATAGTCTTTAAAAGGGGGATGGGTGCAGTGGAAGTGATTTTGGAAATCATGGTACAGAACTGGGGTTTCTGGATCTGTTCTAATGACACCTCTATGTCATCTTCCTCTAGGGGGAAATTCTTCTGCTTCCTTTTGCTTGAGTGGCCTTTGGGCACAAGACAGAGACCTGACATAGACCAGGCCCTGAGCCGAATCCAGGACATCTGGACTCACAGTTGCCCTCAGAGCCCAAGCAATAACACTGACACCTCCCACTAAACCCCTTTTGAGAGCCAGGTGTAGTGATACATGCCTGAAAATCCAGCTATACAACGTGTTTGAGGCCAGCCCTGGCTATGTGAAACCTAGTCTAAAAAAAATAATTTAACAAAACCTTTTAAATATGACTCACTCATTTATTCAACAAATATTTACTGTGCTCTGGCAATGGACCAGGCAGTGTGCGAAGCACTGAGATATACTGAAGAGTAAAAACAACCCTGGTTCTTCTCGGTGCTCAGAGGCCCATGGGAGAGGCAGATTTGCATGAAAGGGTAACAGATAAATGGGTAGTTGGAAATTATGATAAACGCCATGAAAATGCAATTAGAAGTTGTGCAAGCGCAGAGACTAGGAGGCTGTAAAATGATTTGGGAGACAGAGAGAGCTTTTCTAGAATGTAGTGACTTAGGCTAATCCCCAGCAACAGGAAACACACACACACACACACACACACACACACACACACACGTACACACGTGCATGTGCCCCACTTTCTGGAAGCCAGAAGCCTACCCTCTACCCCAGCATCTACACCCTTTAAACTCTAGCTTCCTATCTCTCATGTCAGAATTTCGTTGTCTGGATCATTCTGGTCCTTGATATGGCCACTGCTGTCCAGGAAAGGGACAGCAGGGGGCGTAAGAGTGTCACAAAGAGATGGGGCAGTGGTTCTGGGAAAGACAAGGAAGGAATGAAAAAGCTCTAGTAGAAAGCTTGCCCAGCCTGTGTAAGGCTCTGGATTCTATCCCTAGCATTGAAAAAAAAAAAAAAAGAGAGAAAGCGGACCAGAGGGACACAGTGGCATCATCTCTTCTAGCTTCTGTCTTTGTTGTTTTTTCGCAGAGGACTTTGTATTTCATTAAATAAGAACTGGTTAGTACTGGTTCCAAATGGAAAGAATAGGCAGATTCAAGAATATCTTTGCCTTCAAAGAATATAGTGAGAGGCTGGGGATTTGGCTCAGTTAGTAGAGTACTTGCCTAGCATGCAGGAAGCCTTGGGTTGGATCTGCAGCACTGCGTAAATGGGACATGGTGGTGCCTATAATCCTGGTACTTAGGAAGTGAGGCAGGATGATCAAAAGTTTAAGGTCATCCTTGGCTATAGTGAACTGGAGGCCAGCCTGGGATATATGAGACCCTATCTGTTTTTGTGATGCTGGGGTTCGAACCCAGGGTCTTGTGCATGCTAGGCAACCACTCACACATTGAGCTATATCCCCCACCTGAAACCATGTCTAAGAAAAAAATATGATGACCCAGGTTTCAGTTACCAGACCTTTGGAGAACACTGGTGGCCCTCACTCTCCACAGGGAACCTTTATATCCAAGCCACCAGCTCCTAGTTTCAGTTCTCTTTAGAATCATTGTGCCAAGGAGTCCTGGAGGCTCTAGCCCTCAGCTCCCACTTCTCAGTCCTCATCACTCAAAAGCTTTTAAACCCGGGCTGGAAAGATAACTCAGTAGTTAAGAGCACTGACTGTTCTTCCAGAGAACCTGGGTTTGATTCCAAGTACCCATATGGCAGCTAACAACCATCCATACTCCAATTCCAGGGATCCAGCACTCTGTACTGACCTCCTAAGGCATTACACACACGTGGTGCACCTACATACATGCAGGCAAAACACTCATACATATAAGATAAAAATAAAAAAAAATAGCTGGGCGTGGTGGCGCATGCCTGTAGTCCCAACACTTGGGAGGCAGAGGCAGGCGGATCTCTGTGAGTTCAAGGCCAGCCTGGTCTACATAGTGAGTTCCAGGCCAGCTGGGGCTACAGGGAGACCCTGTCACAAAAAGACAATACTACTATTACTACTAATAATATATTTCACTCTTCCTTTTTTTTCCTTTCTTTCCTTCTCCCTTTCTCTATTTATTTATTTATTTATTTGTTTATTTATTTATTTTTTGAGACAGGGTCTCCCTGACCTGGATTCACTATGGAGTGCTAGGATTAAAGGCATGAGCAACCACGCCCAGCTTCCTTTCTCTTTCTTTCTTTTAAAAAAAAAATTTATTTTTTGGGGGATGAACAGATGGCTCAGTGGTTAAGAGCACTGACTGCTCTTGCAGAGGACCGGGGCTCGATTCCCAGCACCCACATGGCGGCTACGAACCGTCCTTAACTCCAGTTCCAGGGGAATCAGAAACCCCCCCTTTTTTTTTTATCTTTTTGATACAGGGTCTCCTTGTAGCCCCAGCTGTCCTGGAACTCACTATGTAGACCAGGCTGGCCTTGAACTCACAGAGATCCGCCTGCCTCTGCCTCCTGAGTGCTGAGATTAAAGGCGAGAGCCACCATGCCCAGCTCGCAGCCTTCTTTTGACCTCCGTGGCATTGCACGACACGGGTGCACTCACATACATGGAGGCAATACACTCATACACATAAAATAAAAATAATAAATAAAAAATATATTTTAAAAATATTTTATTATTTTTATTTTATGTGTACATGTATTTCCCGCATGTAGGTAAGTACACCTTTGTCTTGCAATGCCTGTGGAGGACAGAAGAGACTGTCGGATCCTCTGGAACTGGAGTTACCCACAGTTGTTAGCTGCCATGTGGGTGCTGGGATTCGAACCCAGGTCTTCTGCAAGAACAGTGTTGTTAACTGCTGAGCCATCTCTCCAGCCCCATAAAATATATTATCTTTAAATTATTTTTATTTTATGTGTATCGCCTGCCTACATGTAGGTGCACCACATGTGCAGTGCCCATGGAGGCCAGAGGGGGGTGTCAAATTCCCTCTAAAGACTGTTAAGGAGAGACACACAGAAGACTGGGAGTGGGCTAGAGAGCTGGGAGGAGACCCAGACTCAAAAGCCTCTTGTTTTTCTTTGAGAAAGGATCTCATATATCCCAGGTTTGCCTCAAACTGCCTCAAACTGTGTTATAGAAGATAACCTTGATGCTCTGATCCTCCTGCCTCTACCTCTTGAGTGCTGTAATTACAGTTGTAGGCCATTAGGCTAGTTTTACAAAGTACTGGGGAGGAACCCAGAGCTTCATGCATGCTAGGCAAGCGCTCTACCAACTGAGCTACATCTCTAGCTTCCCAGTAACCCAGACAATAGGATACCACTTACTGGGCCTGCTGTCCCCTTCTAAGATCAGCCAGGACCTTGATGACTCCAGAGCAAGGAGGCCTCAGGGGTGGAAGACACAAATTCCAAACCTGGCCTTGTATTTCTCCCAATTTTACTCATGTAGACTCCTCCACCCAGCCATTCGTGTTTGTAGAAGAAGCCTCAACATGGAAAGGGAGTCTGAATTCAATTCTGATCCCTGGTTGATGTTCATGGTCAACTTTGGCCACTTGGGTATATTCATTTAACTTATAGTTATTGTGTACCTATGGGAGTTCTGAGGAGACAGTGGTGAAAAGAACACACAATCTCTGCTGTTGTGGATCTCACAGTAGTGGGAGAGGACAAATAATGCCAGGATGATGGGTTGTTCATGCCTATAATCCCAGTTATTTAGGAGGCTGAGGCAAAAGATTGAATTCAAAGCCAGCCTGTGCTACGGAGACACTATTTCAACACACACATACATACAGAGAGAGAGAGAGAGAGAGAGAGAGAGAGAGAGAGAGAGAGAGAGAAAGTCAGGTATGGCAGCTCAGTCTGTAACCCCAGCATCCTGGCATTTGAGGGTATGGAACCAGAGCGCTCAAGAGTCACCCCTAGCTGTGTAAGTTTGAGGCCAACCTTGGTTACAATAAACTAACAAACCTAGGGCTGGAGATATGGCTCAACAGTTAAGAGCACTGGATGCAGAAGACCGAGGTTCAGTTCCCAGCACCCACATGGTGGCTAGCAACCATCTATAACTCTAGTTCCAGGGGCTCTAATGCCCTCTGTGCCCTTCATGGGCATCGTACACACAGGTGTACTTACATATATGCAAGCAAAACACTCAAACACATAAAAATTAATATATTAAAAAAAACCAGCCTACCAACAAATGAACAAAAAGTCCAGCTTGGTACAAGTGTTTAATCTTAGCACTTGGGAGTCAGAGGCAGGTGGATTTCTGTGAATTTGAGGCCAGCCCAGTCTACGTAGCAAGTTGCAGGCCAGCCAGGGCAACACAGTAAAATTGTCTTAAAACAAAACAAAACACAAAATAAAACAACATTGCCTATAGCAATGACTCAATGGTTAAGAGCACTTGCTGTTCTTCCAAAGGATCTGGGTTCAGTTCCCAGCACCCAGATGGCAGCTTACAACTGCCTGCATGCATGTGGTACACATACATATACTCAGACACACACATATACACATAAACTAAACTAAATAAATAAATCTTTAAAAAACAAAGCAAAACAACAAAAAACTTATTATTTTTTTTGGGGGGGGCGTCTTTTTGAGACAGCAGCTGTCCTGGAACTCACTGTGTAGACCAGGCTGGCCTTGAACTCACAGAGCTCCGCCAGCCTCTGCTTCCCAAGTGCTGGGATTAAAGGTGTATGCCACCATGCCCAGCTAACAAAAACCTTTTAAAAAATAACCCCACAAACAAAACAAAAAAGAAACATCATTTCAAATAGTAGAACTAACTATAAAGGGAGTAAGTCCAATGCTAGAGCAGAGGGAGGAAGAGAATGGGTGGTCAGGAAAGGCTTGTGAGAAGTAAAGTCGCTTTAGTAGCGACGGGAATAATGAGACGTCATCCAGTGGTCGCCTCAGGTAGAAGCCAGCAGAGAGTGGGTTAAAGGGTCTGAATACATGTGGGTACTCATCAAGGGGGAGCTGTGTTCTGGGTGGCAACTTCCTGACCTTGTGTCCCCGGAATGTTTCAGAGGCCAGTTTTTCTCTCCTCCCTCCACCCTGTCCTCTTCAGGACACTATGCCCCCAACCTTTCTTCTCCAGCCTGCCCTAGATTCCAGGATTCCTGATTACCATCCAGCTGTCTACACTCTTTCATTAAGACTGACTTCGGTTTGACGCAGACTTTGCCAAGCCTCCCCCTCCCAAGCATCTA